AGACAATTATTACTGTGACCAAAACTGATCTGATTTACCAATTCATTATCAGTTCAGTTTTTAATGTTTTCACAACATTTTTTATTGTCTATTACCAATCTATTGTTACTAAAAAAAATAATCACCAAAAATTTATCATACCTATTGTTATTAAAATAAATCTCAGAAAATTTTTTTATTAACCTTATTAAATGTAATCTATTGTTATAAAAATCTTTCATTTATATTACTTACTAGTAATATTAGTGTTACTGTGAACTATAAAAAAATCTTACTAAAAAACAATTATTAACAAGTTAATTGTCTACTATCAACATATTGTTATTAAAAAAAAATCCCAGAAAATTTTTTTATACCAAACTATTACTAAAAAGAAATCTCATTAAATTTTTTATAAATCTCACTAAACACAATCTATTGTTATAAAAAAATCTTTTATTAATTTATTAGTAGTATTAGTATAAAACTCACTCACTATATCCAAAAGTACACTAGTTATATAATAGTATTAATATATGACATAACGTCTTAACATATTACTAACTATTACAAGATGAATATAATAGGATTGTTGTTGACAGCAAAGTCTGTCATGGTTATTAGTTTCCGCTAATCTTACAACTTCCCATAAATACTTCCCATAAATTAAAACTTCCCAACCAAAATCATTTTTCTTTATATTAAATATTTTTTTTATTATCATTATTTTCATAATGGCAAATAATTTTACTAGAACCATAGTAAACTTTCCTAAAATTCAATCCAAAGACCTAGGTTCTTTTTCATATAAAAATAAAGATACAAATGAATTTAATAGTATTAAAAGCAATATAATTGCACGTTTTAAAAAAGGATGAGGAAAAAGATGTTTCCGTTTATTTCTTGTAGATAATAATAAAAGAAATTTAAGTGATTCAATCATAGTGTTAGACTCAGAAAATAACCAAATTAAAGGTAATAATTATCCAGCTGAAACCGGTCCCGTTTCATATAAGATTAACTGGGTTCAAGACTACAGAGTTTTTTTCAAATTAGTAAACACAATAAAACGCTTCAGTTATCATGAATGAATAATCCGAAACGACAAGCTGTTTCAATGTAAGACTTATTAAAGTTTCACTCGTACGATTGGTTATTTACCAATTCAAAAATACATTTTACTAATCAAAAATTATTTATTTGTTGAAAGAATGGAAAATGAATATGATGTCGAACTTCCAAATTTATAATAAAGGTTCGGTTTTTTATTTATTGTATTATTCAATAAATATAAATATAACTATTTTTAAATGTTAAATGTATTTCCTTTTTTTGTTTTTTTTTACTATTAAAGGATATTTAATTATTAAGTTCTTATTTATCATTTTATCTAGTAATACTTTTTTTTTTTAGAAAAAGCAATAAATATTTTTTTGAGAAATTCATAAATTTATTTTATAATATTTGTATCTTATGGTGTAGAATTGCAAATATAAATATTGTGCTGCAACATCTGATATAGTAATTGAATATTATTTTTATTTTATTATTGAAGATTTTATAGATTATGCGTATAACATATAATAAATAAATAAAATTCAAATATATTGAAAGAAATCTAAAATGCCCGACCCAGACCTAAAGCATTTATTCTGTAGACTGATATTTTTTGTGAATATCGTACATGGGGCTGTATAACCTAAATCCGTCCGTCAGTATTTTATTTTTTCTAAAAAATTTTTTATTTGAATTGCATGTTCCGAATTAAATATGTTCCAAACTATAAAAAATAGGACTGAAAGTAACGAAGGGTATGTGACTTCTCCAGACAGGACTTTTTATGATGGATGTGCATATTAACTTATTATATAATATATATATGTATATAAGTTTCGGGCTTCCAGCTTCTCTGGTATGGAAGTCTGAATGGTAACTATTTCTTTGGATAGGTTTGAAAAACTTTAAGAGACGTACTAACATTTCTCTTATTGTTTTGTAGTTTTCTGGTATAACATTTTAAAGGATAAGTTTTTTTTGGAAAGGGAGCTCACCATTAGCTTTAGGAAACAAACTAATGTACCTTTTTTAATTTTTATGATTCTGCTTTTGGACACCTTTATAATGCGGTATATCAATTTTTTTAGGAAAATGTTTTGCTTGAACGTATTTTTTTTATTCGAGAAAACACTCTACTAATGTTTTCTTTTTACTTTTGTAGGTTTTTGTAGGTTTTGGGTTTGGATTTCTGATAGTAAGTTTTGATACTTCTAACCTTCTTTTTAGAAAATGCTTATTAACATTAATATTTGAGAATCAGTCTTTAAGTGTGTTCCGGGCTTAGAACTACCCAGCGTATCCTGAAAAAATGTCTCAAAATGCCTGAAAACCGCATTTTAACTAGAGTGGCACATATTTAACAAATAGGGCGTGTCGAATAAGATTTTTGTTATTAAGTTTCTTAGGATACTTATGAAAATTGAAAAATGGAGGGATTTGACACGTGATGGAAAAAGTCACTCATGTGATTTTCAGTAGCACCCAAAAATATGTACTCACGTGATCTTTTCGCTAGCATTATGCCATGATTAAATGTGCGTTTTAGCATTAAGAGTGACAAAGTATTTGACGAATAATATGTGACAAATTATGTTATAATAATTTTATTTATATTAATAATGAAAGACCAATCTTATACTAATTAAATTTCATAATAAAGTTTTTACAGTATTTGTACCAATTGCACTTTTTTAGAACTCAGTTGACNGGTTAACTATACAATAAATAGATGTAATAAATTTTTTGGAATTTTTTTTTAATAACAGTAAATTGGTATCATATAATAGATGATATAATAAATTTTTTTTGGAATTCTTCCTTAATAAAAATATATTGGTATAGCACAATAGATAGATATAATAAAAATTTTCTGTGATTTATTTTTTAATTACAATAGATTGGTAACTTATTAACGGAAGTTAATAATTTTTTTACAGTTTACAGTAACACTAATATTACTTTTTTTTTTTTAATCGCAGCGCATTTGCAGTTTTATTAAAGTAGAAAAATAAAAGAATATGTATACATAGTATGATTCTAAAAGCTACTCTAATATAATTAAACTACAAACAACTCGTCATACGTATAGTACCCCACGTGTGCACTGTCGAGTGATCGTTAGACTCAGTAGGTAGACAACATTTATAATGCGTTATCTTAGCCAGACGGCCCTATCTTCAACATAGTAACACTAATATTACTAATAAGTAATGGTAATAAAAGATTTTAATTACATTTAATAAGGTTAATAAAAAAATTTTTTGAGATATAATAGAATGGTATAGTACAATAGATAGATATAATAAAATTTTCTGGGATCTATTTTAATAATAACAGATTGGTATAATACAATGTATAGATATAAAAAAATATTTCTGAATTCTTTTTTTTTAATAATAGATTGATATGAATATATTTTCTGGGATTTTTTTTTAGCAATAAGTCATTATATCAGTATAAAATTTTCTGGATTTTTTTTAATAACAATAGATCAGTATGATATAATGGATAGAAATAAAAAATTTTAAGGATTTTTTTTTTAATAATAATACTAGATTGGTATAGTACAATAGTTACTAGATATAAAATTTTCTGGGATTATTTTAATAACAATAGATAGGTATAGTACAATGGACTAATTTAATAAATTTTTTTGTGATTTTTTTTAATAACAATAGATTGGTAATAGACAACTGATTAGAAATTTGTTCAATTAATAATTGTTTTTTAGTAAGATTTTTTCCAGTAATACTACTACTAATAGGTATTAATAGTTAGTTTAATGAGTTAATAAAAGATTTTTTATAAATAGATTATATTTAATGACCTATAAAAAAAATTTTGGGAGATTTTTTTTAATAACAATAGATCAATACAAAAAATTTACTGAGACTTTTTTTAATAACAATAGATTGGTATAGTACAATGAATAGATATAAAAAAATTTTAACTTTTTTTTTTAATAATAGATTGATATAAATATATTTTCTGAATTTTTTTTTAACAATAGAGTCAATAAATCAATATAAAAAATTTTTTTGATAACAACAGATCAGTACTATATAATAATGGAGAGATATAAAAAATTTTTTAGATTTTTTATTAATATAATAGATCAGTTTCTGGAATTTTTTTATGACAAATTAGTATAGTACAATATATAAAATTTTCTGGGATTTATTTAAATAACAATAGATATGATAAAATTTTTGGTGATTTTTTTTTTAGTAGCAATAGATTGGTAATAGACAATTATTACTGTGACCAAAACTGATCTGATTTACCAATTCATTATCAGTTCAGTTTTTAATGTTTTCACAACATTTTTTATTGTCTATTACCAATCTATTGTTACTAAAAAAAATAATCACCAAAAATTTATCATACCTATTGTTATTAAAATAAATCTCAGAAAATTTTTTTATTAACCTTATTAAATGTAATCTATTGTTATAAAAATCTTTCATTTATATTACTTACTAGTAATATTAGTGTTACTGTGAACTATAAAAAAATCTTACTAAAAAACAATTATTAACAAGTTAATTGTCTACTATCAACATATTGTTATTAAAAAAAAATCCCAGAAAATTTTTTTATACCAAACTATTACTAAAAAGAAATCTCATTAAATTTTTTATAAATCTCACTAAACACAATCTATTGTTATAAAAAAATCTTTTATTAATTTATTAGTAGTATTAGTATAAAACTCACTCACTATATCCAAAAGTACACTAGTTCGTTTATATAAATTAATATCTGAAATTATAATAAAAATTTAAATTTAATTTTTTAATAGCCAAGGTGATTCTCTTTTCGCAGTCTTAATCTAAAGGAAAGGGTAAAACATCTGTTTCAATTTTAGGTTATCAAACAATTGTACTGAATAATAAAAGAAATTAAAAATACCTCAATTGGATTTAAGAATGCAAATTTCAAATTAATTTCTGAATCCTTTTTTCTACTTTTACAAATACAACCTTTTTGATTACAATTTATATCAAGAGATTTTATTTTAATCTGATTAATTTTTTGTTTTAGAAATTTAGGGCCACAATTTTCTCCCATAGAATATAAACTTATAAATTTTGGTCTCTGCCGTTTTAGTGGATTAAATTTAATAGAATTAATAAGATTTCTTATCTTATTATTATTTTTAATGGGTAATATTCCATAATCATCAGAATTGGGGTAAGATGAAATAATGAGAATACTAAAAGTAAAATCAGGTAAATTGACATAATGATTTTTTTCTAAACAATAAGAAAATGCATACAATCCAATTTTTCCATTTTTTTGATCATTAAAAAAATGATGATTAATGACAAGAGAATTATTTGAAGAATTCAATTTGCTTAGTACAGGGATTCCAAAACAAAGAACTGATGAATCATCATCCAAATCTAATGATTTAATTATGGTTTGATGACCTGTTGCTTTAAAATATTCATTTTGAACTTTTAATTGAATATTAAATTCTGAATGATTAAGTTCAAAATTTAAATCATAACCAATAATCATCCAATTAATTCTCAATTTATATTTACGTTTTTTAAATTTTTTTTGAATACAATGGATTACAAGACTTGGGTCTTCACTTTGTGGCCAAATGACTTGACAATTAAAAATAGCTTTTTCCTTTTTGTCAATTACTGTTGCAAAGATACTACAATCAGCATCTTTATTTTGTATAATTTTTAAAATATTTTCTGGTATATTTAATCTAAATACTCTTGGTTTTGCATATTCAACTAAAGAATAATCATGATATTCAGTATTAGTATAAAGTATTTTTTTTCCAATTGATAATAAGACCCGTTTACGCAAATTTTCGGGTAAAGGTTGAAAAATACTAATTGGATTCTTAAATTTTATGCAACTCCAATATCTGAAATCATTCAAAGATCCAGCCCAAACTTCTTCATCAAAATTATTAACATTAAGCTGTTGCCCTCCAATTAATTTAAAACATTCACGTTTAGAATTATTAATATTATTGTTTAAATTTTCAGTAGTACTTTCTATTTTGATATTAGAAGCTAAACCTATATTAAATTTTTTTGAATTTTCTTCAGAACAATGCCTTAAAATATTTGATCTCTTAAAATAAGCTTTTCCGCCAAATGTAATTTCTGTTGGAATGAACTGACCATATTCCTCAATGATTTTCTTAAAATTTCTAGGGTCTTTGGATTCTATGGCGTCTTTTACTTCTTTAATAAATTCTATATCTGGTTGTAATCTAAATTTTAAAGTTGCTTTACCATATTCACTTATGGTACAAGTTAAATTAGCGTCACAGTTAGTTTTTTTAATATTAAATCTTCCAAATGACGTGCTTAACTTTACAAAATCTTTTGTGTCAATGTCCGCAGCTAAAAGTAAATCATTTTTCATGATTTGATCTTCTTCCGAATCAATTTCAATCGTACTGTATTTGCAACCATCAACAATTTCAGTCATTTTACAATCTTCCATTATTGTAAATGCTTTCTTATTAGCCTTTTCTAATGTTGAAGCAATCCCATATTCTAATTTATGTTTATCTTTCAAAAATTTCCAATCAGGTTCGGATTTTAAATATAAGATTTTGTCCTTTTATTTATGATTTTTTCTAAAGTTACTCCTTCTTCGTCTTCTTTTGCTATTTCAGCTAAAATATTGTTATTGTTAATTTGACCGACTTTATTTGTGAACGAAAATGTATCATTCATTTTAACTTTGCTATTTTGTTCAAGTTTTTTACGAATATTTGATAACTTTTCTCTAAGATTTAAACTGACTAATACACGTTTTGATTGCGGATCATCTATTTGAACTATACATGTTGCCGAAATATTTCGGCTATTTCGCCCACGTGACAAACTCTTCAAAGCAAGATCATCTGATTTCATAGATTTGGCTGAAATTAGGCTTCAAATAGGTTAATCTGGGTCTGAAGAACCTATGAAAGAACTTTTGAGGAATTTCGACCAACTTACATAATTTCGGCAGGGCTCTGGAATTTCGGACAACATATATTTAATATATGGCCAAAACTTTAAAGTCCGATTCGAAATTATTGCAGATTATGCCGAAATTTTCTGAAGTCTGCCAAAAGTTGCTGCAGATCTGGCCCAAATTATCTGAGGTTTAAAAAATTTTATTGATATATCTACAAGTAGCTATATTTTGGTGCCGAAATGCGGCCGAAATTGAAAAAAAGTTTCGGCAACATGTATAATTTGAACTGTTATATCAATATCATCTTGCACGTCAGCATTCACGTCCATTTGAAATTTCTCGAACCAATTTTGGCTATGATCAAGGCTATTAATTGGTATAATATATTAATAATATATTGAATAAATAAAATCAATTTTTTTTTTCAAAGAAAAAAATAATTGTTGAAAACGAAAACTTTTTTTCCTTGTATTTATATATATATATTTCTTATTTTCCGATCTTTTGAAATACGTTTCAAATTTTTTTTACCAATTTTTTTTTTATTATTTTACAATGACTCTATAATCTATATTAGTATATTTTTCTTACCAAATTTGGATTTTGGCAGATTTTTTTTTTTCGGGAATTATTATGGTGTAATTGTGGAACAAGTAAACAATTAAAACATCATCATGGGTTCATGGTTCCCTCGAAATCGGATGGTTCCTTCGAAATTCTGGTTATCATGCTTCCTTCTAATTGAATGGCTCCCTCGAAATTGGATGGTTCCTTCGAAATTTTGATCGTCATCATGGGTATGGTTCCCTCGAAATTCTGATTGTCATGGCTATTGGTTCCCTTAATATTTCTTAATATTTCTTAATATTTTGATAGTCATTGCTATGGTTCCCTCGAAATTTTGATCTGGTTCCCTTAAAATTCTGATCGTCATGTGATAGTCATTGTTATGGTTCCCTCAAAATTTTGATCTGGTTCCCTTAAAATTCTGATCGTCATGGTTATGATCCCTTGTATTCGGATCGTCATGGTTACAGTTCCCTCGAAATTCTTATAGTCACGGATTATAATTCTCTTGAAATTCTAATCTTCATGGTTATGGTTCCTGGTCGTCATAGTTACCTCTAATTGGATGGTTCTCTCGAAATGCAAACTATTATATAAGAACGTACCGAAAACTTATGATTTTGTGTNAACTGATGCTTTTTAATAATGCTATTACGAATTTTTGCAAAAAACATTTTGATTCTGATCAGTTATAAAAAAGTAAGATTTGGAATGCAAAAAAGTAATAATATAGTTTTTTCAAAATAAATGAGTTAATAATAATGACTCAAAAATGACAATTGTGACTTTAGATTAGATAAAGAAAAAAATTTTTAATCAAATCAATTATCTTACATTATTAGAATGTTTTATTATTTCCTAAAACCAAGAAATACAATCTATAAAATTTCTTTATTATTATAAAACCTGTTTATGTGTTGTATTTATATTGGTTACTAACTAAATACCATCACTAAGTTTTTTATGCGCAGTATATGCACAAAAAAATTACAAAAATGTGCCTGATTTTGTGTTTTATGATAATCGAATTGTGCATCCTCAAAACGCGCTTTAACGAAATAATAAATTGTAAAATTTTGTTTACAATGTATTTTACATTTTTAAATATTATATTATACATTTTATATATTATATTGTACGATTTTAAGTATTATGTTATATTACACATTTTTAGAGGATATTACATTGTATTTTTACGTACAATAGCATACATATTACTAACTATTACAAGATATGAATATAATAGGATTGTTGTTGACAGCAAAGTCTGTCATAATTATAAATATGCCCTAGTTTCCGCTAATCTTACAACTTCCCAAAATTTCCCAACCAAAATCATTTTTTTTATATTAAATATTTTTTTTATTATCATTATTTTCATAATGGCAAATAATTTTACTAGAAAGGCAAATGATTTTACTAGAACCATAGTAAACTATCCTAAAATTCGATTCAAAGACCTAGGCTCTCTTTCATACAAAAATAAAGACACAAACGAATTTAAAATTAAAAGCAATATAATTGCACGTTTTAAAAAGGATGAGGAAAAAGATGTATCCCGTTTATTTCTTGTAGATAAGAATGGAAGGAATTTAAGTGATTCAATAGTGTTAGATTCAGAAAATAACCAAATTAAAGGTAATATTTATCCAGCTGAAACCGGTCCCGTTTCATATAAGATTAACTGGGCTCAAGACTACAGAGTTTTTCTCCAAATTAGTAAAAACAATACATTTATCATGAGAGTGAGAGCAATGAATCCGAAATGGCAAGTTGTTTCAATGTAAGAGTTTCACTCTTACGATTGGTTATTTACCAATTCAAAAATACATTTTACTAACCAAAAATTATTTATTTGTTTAAATATTTTTCTTTTTTGAGAAAATAAATATGAACTAAAATATATTTATTTTCTAATATGATATTAGGTGTATTTATCTTTGGTAATTTCAGCTTATAAATGTAAAAAGGAAAAAGAAACTGTAGCTGTTGGATATTTAAATGAATCATCCGACCAAATTAACCATAAAGAATGGAAAATGAATATGATGTCGAACTTCCAAATTTATAATAAGGTTTTTTATTTATTGTATGTATTATTCAATAAATATAAATATAACTATTTTTAAATGTTAAATGTATTTCCTTTTTTTGCTTTTTTAATTATTAAAGGATATTTAATTGTTAAGTTCTTTATCATTTTCATCTAGTAATACTTTTTTTTTTAGAAAAAGCAATAAATATTTTTTTAAGAAATTCATAAATTTATTTTATAATATTTGTATTTTATGGTGTAGAATTGCAAATATAAATATTGTGCTGCAACATCTGATATAATAGTAATTGAATATTATTTTTATTTTATTTATTAATTATTATTGATGCTTTTATAGATTATGCGTATAACATATACCCAGACCTAAGCATTTATTCTGTAGACTGATATTTTTTATGAATATCGTACATGGGACTAGTAGTGCTTCGATCCGGATGAAATCCGTTATTCAGATTGAATAACAATTTAATCCGGATGAAAACTGTTATTAAACGAAAATCCGGATAAAAAAAATTACTTCAAAAAATCCAATCCTACCATTAAATGCGCAACGTCAAGCACTATCTTACATGCCTTAAATTGTTAAATTCTGTTCATTGGTTTCGTTCGGAAATATTTTAAGTTATCCGAAAACTGGCAATCCGGATGGATCTGACGAAATCCGGTTCAAACTGCGGATTTCATCCGGATTTTTGATTTAATCCGGATCAATCCGGATCAATCCGTACATGGATCAAAGCACTACATGGGACTCTATCATAATCTAAATCCGCCCGTCAATATTTTTATTTTTTCTAAAAAAAATTTTTTATTTGAATTGCATGTTCAGAATTATATATGTTCCAAACTATAAAAAATAGGACTGTAAGTAACGAAGGGTATGCGGCCCAGTAAATAGTTTTTGCATAAATTTATACCAAACGGGCTCATTGGCTCGAAGCTCAAATTTATGCGAAAAATAATCCAAATTTAAGCCGATCTAGAGCCAATTATATATGGATGAGCCATTTGGTACAAAAACTATTTACTGGGCGGATGTGCATACTCCTCGGCCTTCTCTGATTACCTGCCTTCTCACTCTTCTCCTACACAAGAACATCACAACCTTCCTATCTCTCATCTTATATTTATGGATGATTCTACTTTAATTGCCTCCTCTAAAGCTGGCATTGAGGATCGTTTATCTATAACTTATTATATATATATATATATAGGTTTCGGGCTTCCAACTTCTCTGGTATGGAATTCTAAATGGTAAGCTAGTTTTCTTTGGATAGGTTTGAATAAACTTTAAGGGACGTACTAACATTTCTTTTTGTTGTTTTGTAGTTTTATGGTATAACATTTTAGAGGATAAGTATTTTTTTTTTGAAAGGGAGCTCACCATTAGCTTTAGGAAACAAACTAATGTTCCTTTTTTAATTTTTATGATTCTGCTAATTGGTATATCAATTTTTTTAGGGAAAGGTTTCGCTTGAACGTATTTTTAGGTTCTGGGTTTGGATTTAGATTCCGGGCTTTGAACTAGTATCCAGCGTATCCTGAAAAAATGTCTCTAAGGGCGTGTCAAATAAGATTTTTGTTTTTAAGTTCCTTAGGATACTTATGAAAATTGAAAAACGGAGGGATTTGACATACTATGCACTCACGTGGTCTTTTCACTGGCATTATGCCATTAAATGCGGCGTTTTAGCATTAAGAGTGACAAAGTACTATTTGACGAATAATTTATATTATAATAATTTTATTTATATTAATAATGCAAAACCAAATTAAATTTCATAGTAAACATCAGGAAATTTTTTTTATGTAAAAAATATGCAATATTTTGTGCATGAAAAAATTGATTTGCACACTCTGAAATTGCATATTTAATATATATAATGTATTTTCCATACAATATATTGTAAAAAAATGGGTTAATTTTTATATAAATTTGTACAAAGAATTATACATATAATATTGTTAATTATATTGCATAAATTTTAGAAATTTAACTATTTGTGCAATATTGAATACCCTGAAAAATTTGTGATGAAGTNAAATTTTGATCTGGTTCCCTTAAAATTCTGATCGTCATGGTTATGATCCCTTGTATTCGGATCGTCATGGTTACAGTTCCCTCGAAATTCTTATAGTCACGGATTATAATTCTCTTGAAATTCTAATCTTCATGGTTATGGTTCCTGGTCGTCATAGTTACCTCTAATTGGATGGTTCTCTCGAAATGCAAACTATTATATAAGAACGTACCGAAAACTTATGATTTTGTGTAACATGCATAATAATAATAATAATAATGTACAGGTGACCGATATTTTTACTAACTATAATTGTAATGTAAATATATTCAAGTAATATTACAGAAACGTTTGGTTCGGGATTCTGATCGTCATAGTTCCCTTGAAATTGGATGGTTCCTTTGAAAATGTAAATTATTGATAATGACAAATATGTTTATATAATATACTATATATATTCAAGAAATATTACAATGAATTACAAATAAAAAGATTGCAATAAATGAAAAAACAATTTTTTTACGCACATAAATTATAAAGCACTTTGTTTTGTTTACAATTAATTTTAAAATTCATGAGCACAAAATTTAATTTTGAGTTTACAAGCGCTATAGTTCATAATATGAGATAAAATG